ATCCACTCATGCAAATAAGCATACAATCAGATCCTCGTTAATATGCTTTTTATGCACTGGACAGAACGACTGTTTTTCCCCATCAAAGACTGATCTGGAAAACAGCATCCTTCAATAGTCCTATTAAGAAGTGGCACACATTACTTTCCCTCACTGCCTCTCCTAGAGTTCTTAAGATTAAAGGAAGTTTCTGATACCTACCTAACCATGTTGCAATGAGAACAGAATCAATTCCATCTATGGGCTCGCAAATTCGAGCCACTACTGGATGTATTTGTTGCGACAGGTAGTATTGAGTATCAATAGTAAGATTTTCTTGTTTCTGCAGCTGTTCTGGAGCATATGCTCTCTGGCTGGCACTCAGATTTGATCCATCCTAAAAGGGACATAAACAGACAGACTATATAAAAGCCACATCCAGGCTGGAGGTCAAATTAGACTTTAAGCTTTGTAACGGTTTAAAAAAAAACTTACCCAACAGAATCTACGTTACATATATAATTCAAGTTCAATGAAAATAGGGAAAACATATTACATAATTGTTGCTGGTATCAACCATCAAGTTCAAGACTGCAAATACATATTGTATTATTGGAACCTATGGGTGTAGTCAGTAAGAGTAGACAAAGTAAACAGTCCCATCTGTCAATTCCAAAATACTAAATGAAAACATACTGTAACCATCCCTCAGGTTAAAACTATGCAGAGGTCATGCATTCTAGATCACTTTACATTAGACACGGTGCGCTTATCGCTCCACATAACCAGCAGATTCCAAATCATGGTAAATTTGCTAAAATATAAATTAAATGTCCAGTAGTTTTGGAGCCGTGAGCCAACGCAACCCAGCTCAGGGCCACCACAGGCTGGGGCTACCAACCCGATCTGCTACTTCTGCTTCATCGCCCTGCAACACAGCATGCACCCAGCCCACAGCTCCATGAGCCAGATGCAATAGACCTGCAGCTAGATCCAGCCTGTGGGCCATAAGTTGCCAACCCATGGTACAGCCAGACAAAAGATACAACATAAAATGAAACAACTGGAAGAGAAGTTAAGAAATGAAGACTATTTTGTTCAGAAGTTTATACATGAATAAAACTGGGTTGTTGGAGTAGAAACCAACATGCACTAAAACTCTAGTGGGGGGAGAGGGGAGGAGAAACCAAATATTTTCAGGAAGATGCGTCTTAAATCTGAAAAGTACATATGCTTGTGGGAAAAGTTAATTTTTTAACAAATGCCAATTAAGATAGGCATAACTGAGCTGAAAATAGGAGCTGTAGTTTTAATAAGTAACAGGTATTGGGAGTAAAGCATAAGGGGATTTACCTCAACCAGCTCACTACATTTACCTGTATGTATTCTAGGGTTTTATCTAGTACATCTTGCCCAGTAGAATCACGGCCTCAATGTCTTTTGTTTAATCAGGGTCATCAGTCTTTGTTTACTGATAATGCTTTTTTACTCAGAGCAGAGCTAAAACTTTATTGTTCTTTCTAATAAGGAACACTTTATAAAATTCAAAGCAAAATTAACTTTGACTATTCAAAAGCATCCAGCTGTTTTGCAAAAATAATTGTCATGCAATGACTTCAGCTCCCTTCTCTCACCAATTACATTTTTCTTCACCATTGTCTTGTCTCAGCCATGCCCATTTTCCAGCTTTCATGAGCTCCACAATCTTCCCTATGATGGGCTGAGCATAGACATTAAATTGAAAATAGTATTTTTTTTAGTGTTTAAACAGAAAAAAATGGACTGAAACAGGGGTCCACTATAGGTAATCACTTTTCCAGTTCTGCTGCTTTGAACACTGATAATATCCAGTATATTACAGTCTGCAAGATTCATATTTATTTTACTACAAATCGAAAGTGTGGAAAATTTCACACGCTATCCTAGTGACTGTAGGGTGCATGTATTTATATGTTGTACTTCATATAAAAAGCCCCAAATTAAAAGATTATTTATATTGTGAAGTCAAGTACCCAATGCTAGGAAATGCCAGAGTTTATGCTGCTCAATACAACACAATTCTGCCCTCTAAGAATTGTGTATTTAACAGAGAATTCTGATACAGCTTTTAATTGACATGTTTAATCTTCCTCTTGTCCAACTTCCCTACTTCTTTGACTGCATAATATAGTAACTGATCAGTAGTCAATAATTCTCTTATCAGAAGAGGCAGCCCTACTGCTGTCTGTACAAGCCTTGATACAGATTCTGGTTTTAGGCCATGTTACTTCCATACAAATCAAACAGTCACACAGGTAGGAGTTAGCAGCACTGTGTAAAGCAGTCGTCCCCAACCTTTCTCCTGGTGGGCTGAATTGGCAGTGCCCAGTCCATCCATGGGTCGGATCCAGCCAGTGCTCCCGATCAAGCATGGGCATGATGGGCACCATCCGGCCACACAGAGGCAGGAGGCAGGCCAGCCTCAATGCAGCCCTGCAAGGGAGAGGAAAGGGGCATGGCCTGGCCACACCCCATGAAGAGAAATGGGGGCATGGCCCAGCCCCAATGGGAAGGAAGGGGCATGGCCTGGCTCTGGAGGTGGAAGGGAATATGACCTGGTCCCATGGGGAAGGAAGGGGGCATGGCCCAGCCCCAATCCAGCAGTGGTGAGGGACAGTCCAGCCCTGCAGGGGACAGAGACCAACTTGGCTCTAACCAGCCACACAGGGAATGGGATTTGGGAATTTGGTGGGGGGAAAGATGGCCACATTAATAGCTGTTGCTCTCCCGCTGCCAAATTTCTGGACCCATGGGAAGCTCTACAATGGCTCCACAAGTCACATTTGGCCTGTGGGCTGAAGGCTGAGTATCCATGATGTAAAGAATTGATTATCAAGCAAAAATGCAAAGGATGGCCTTATTTACTTTAACCCTAAGGACAGTAGCCTCAAAGCATATGCAGAATTCATCACCTAGACAGACATGTAGGCATGAAAAAAATGTTGGCCCAACAGCCAAGTCATTATAGAGAAACCTAGTCATTACTCTGGAAACCTGTCAGGATGTCACCTTAGCACTAGGTAAAAACTGATGTGAGCTAAAGGCATCAGGCAGAGCCTGAAGAAAGCCTATTCTATGAACTGAAGCCACTGCTACCAAAAATGGCCTTCCATTAAGCAACTGCATATACATGCATGCACTCGAAACAAGTACATGTGTATCTGCACACACAGCCTTGGCCAGTGCTGAAAAGCAGCTAGGGCTGGGACTTGAGAAGAAAGGTCCCCTGTTGAAAGCTATTTTACAGCCAACAATCAAAGAAGAGTAAATTGGAAACTTATAAAGTAACCAGTTCTGGTGTAATCATTTCAAGAAGAAAGTTGAAAAGTTGGAAGGGGCTCAGAGAAGAGCCAATGGAACAATTAACAGATTAAAACCTACCTCATAATGAAAGACATAAGGAACTCAAATTTATTTTGCTTAGAGGTAGTCAAGAGATGACTATGCTGGGAACAGAAACATGAAAATAGAGGCCTATCCAATCTAATAAAGCAAGGAGACAGAAAGATCCAGTAACAAAGACAAAGCACAGTTAGGTCATTAACCACTGAAATAAACTTACCAAGGTCCATAATAGAAAGTCCTTTACTGGGAATATTTTAATCATACTTGGTCCTCTCTTTAAACAAATGCTTTATGCTCAAGCAGAAATTAATTCAGGGAAGTCCTAAGGTCTGGATCATGCAAATGAACAAAGCATCATCACAATGGTCTTTCTGATCTTATAAACCATTGTCATATTTAATGCATACATAACTTAATAGTCCTCCTTTAAAATTCAGTACAATTATCAAGATAAAGAAAGTCTGTTTTCCTAGGAGCTGAGCAGACTTGATCTTCCGTCTCCCAAAATCTCACAAATGGTATTTAGCCGTAAGTCACAACATTTTTACCTGACAGATGACATACGACACTGTATCGCCTGATTTCACCTTTCGGCCTCCCTGAGAGTTTATCCACATGGCAACGTGCACATGTGGCAAGCTTTTTTTGTCAGGATAATCTTGAGGATCTTTTGTCAATGCCTAAAAGATCAAAGCAAAATATTTCTTTGAGATAAACATACTAATGACATGCCAGACAACTCTATGCAGTAAAAAAAAAAAAGGCAGTGGTAAAAGTAGCTAACTTCATCATCCTTCTATGTTCACCAGACAGCATATACAGAGCATGGCATACATCCAAAACACTGAAAATAGCGATCATCTTTCCAACATGTCAGGTTTTACATTCAAGTTTTTTGTTTTTTTTTGGGGGGGGGGGGGTTCTCACCCAGTATTCCCCCCCCTAAAAAACCCCCCCCCTTCCCAAAGGGGGGGGGCCAATGGGGGAGCCC